TAAGATAAGACCTCTCTGGAGACATTATTTCCAGAATACGCAGTGTGTTATATTCTTCGTAGACAGTGCTGATCGTGAGAGAATAAATGAATGTGAATGGAGTCTTGGATTACTACTGACTGAGGATGAGCTCAAGAATACACCTCTGTTAGTATTCGCGAATAAACAAGATCTACCAAATGCTATGAGTGTAGTGGAAGTGACTGAAAAGCTAAGTCTTAAAAAGGTAACTGATCGTCCATGGTACGTACAGGCTAGTTGCGCTCCGACAGGAGATGGTCTATATGAAGGGATTGAATGGATGATAAGTGTTCTAGATAACCAAACACCTATTGCTAATAAACAAAGTATTTCTCCAAAAAAAGCTGGAAACAGAGATGCAAAGAAGGATGATTTAGATCAGATATTGGAGAGCTGGTTGGAGATAGAAGATAATACTGATGATGAGTTTATAGCTGCTCTAGAAGACTACACACTAGATAATTGGGATCACAGAACTCATCTCAGATTAGCCTGGATATATCTCACTCGTCACGGGAGGAGAGAAGGAATGAAAAAGATTTTCTCTAGCATTAAGAATTTTATTGATAACAGTCCTAGAGCAAGGAAAACAACCTTCCATGAGACTATGACGTATTTCTGGACACATATGGTACACTATGCTATCGAGGCAACTAAAAACCCAACGAAAGACTTCAAAGGATTCCTGTTAATGAATCCGCAGTTAGCAAACGGAGGACTTTTCTTAGAATATTTCACTAAAGATTTAATGTTAATGAAGATGGAGAGTCGTAAACAAGTAGTACTCCCTGATATTAAGCCTCTACCTAGCATAATATCCTCAACTAAACCTCACTCACAATTTATTCTCCCTGTGGTTAAAAAGCAAACTCTGACTGATGCTGAGTTTCTAGAGAAGTTTGAAGAGAAGTCTCTTAACCAGTGGGGCCTGGAGGAGGAGATCAGAGCTGTATATGTGTGTTTATTTATGAAAGGAAGGAGACAGGGTACTAAACTGGTACACAGTGGGATGGAGAAGTTTCAAGGTAGTGGCTACAACCTGACAGCAACATACTTCTGGATACAAATGGTATGGTATTACATGTGTGTAGAAGGTATTGATAAAGTAGCTGGTAGTGAAGATCCTACTTCTACGCATGTCGATTTCTCTACTTTCATTGAAAAGTATTCAGTAATTCTAGATCGTAAACTTCCTCTTAAATACTATTCGAGTAAAGTATTATATGATGATCCTAAGGCTGCTGTAGAGTTTGTTCTACCGGACAAGAAGCAGCTACCATCTATCATACCTAAGAAATAGAGCAATTATTTTGACATTTTATTTATGATTAGATTGAATTCGTGTGTTAAATATGTATCATAAATTTGCAAGAAGAATATATTTTTATAATCTGAGTCATAGCATATCTATTTGTGAGATATATGGTTTAAAATCCTGTTAGGAGGTTCTACAGAGGTTCTCTTATCTTATCGGAGTGTCTGTTATGGAGAAGTTACAATATATGTCTAATTATCTATGGATGTGTGTAGGATAATTATTGCAACAATTTTTTTTGAATTATGTGGACAAGAGCTAGAAGTGATCTAAGAGTAAGGTTGCATTTATTTTACTGTAAACCTCTCATATTATATTACCCGTATAATCGGTACTTATAAAGCCAATCACAAGCTCAATTCCATTAAAATTTACTGTTAATCACTTCCAAAAAACACTACATATATCTCCTTATATGAATTCATTTGTTGAATATTTGTATATTTTAAGCTAGCAACAAGATTAGGAATTAGGAATTTAGAATGGAGCTAGAGAATATCGTAGCTAACACAGTACTAATGAAAGCAAAGGAGAGCACACGTGATGGGAAGGGAAGGAGTAAGAGATGGCGTAGTATGCTACAATTTTCAGAACCTACTGATTGTGAATACCTTAGAGATACATTAGAGCTTAGTTATGATCAAGTTGTCAACCAGCAACCAATTGGAGAATTGCTATTTGAAGAATTCTGTGATACTGATAATCTATTAAGTAGTTGTTGGAAATTTATCCGCAGGTTAGAAGACTACAGAACACTCCCTAATGAAAAACTCAAGGACCATGCTCAACAGATATTTGAGGAGTTTCTTACCCCACAGCCTAAGCTAATCTCTCCTCCTGAACTTGAGGCCAATGAGACTCTTTGCAATTCTGGAGCCGAGGCGTATCCAAATGTAATTAACCACTCTCTTCTTGAGGTCAGTAAATAGTGATTGTGTTTACAGACAACTCTTGTTATATCGAACACGGATATATCGAAGCCTGAAATTGTACTAACATGGTCAAAGTAACATAATTCCATAGGGTATATGGAAGTAATTATCGCTATCCCTTGAGCCTCGATATACGGGAGTTGACTGTAGTTTTATCTTAATATCTAAGTATTATTGTTTTCTGAGTAGATCTTATCACCTGAGGTTATAGAAGAGACACGAGTCTCTATTTCAGAAGCAGCTACTTCTAGATCATTCAACAAGATAGAGATTGAACTGAGGTCTTACTTCATTGGTGAACCTTTTCAGCTGTTTAAAAAGAGCAAATATTTTCTAAGATTCTTACAGTGGAAGCATTTAGAAAGACAATCTGTATCTGAGGATAAATTCAGGATATTCCGTGTATTAGGGAAGGGAGGGTTTGGAGAAGTATTTGCTGCACAGTCTAAGATATCTGGGAAGATGTATGCTATCAAGAAGCTAGAGAAGAAACGAGTCAAGAAGAAGAAAGCTGAAGACTTAGCTCTGACTGAACGTAAAATATTAGAATTGGTAGACTCACGGTTTGTTGTAAACTTAGCATACGCTTACGAAACAAAAGACAGTCTCTGTCTAGTGCTTACCCTAATGGGAGGTGGAGAATTGAAATACCATATCTATGAGATAGGACATGCAGGGCTACCGTTAGAACGAGCTGTATTCTACGCAGCTGAGATAGCTGCTGGATTATCACATTTGCACGATAAACGGATTCTATACAGAGATATGAAACCTGAAAATATTCTCCTAGATGAAAGAGGTCACGTCCGTATTTCAGACTTAGGTCTAGCTATACGCGTACCTGAGGGTACAAAGGTAAAAGGTCGTGTGGGTACAGCTGGGTACATGGCTCCTGAGGTGTTGAAGAATGAATCTTACATATTCGCGATTGACTGGTGGGGATTAGGATGTGTCATATATGAAATGATAGCGGGTAGACCTCCATTTCGCGAAAAGAAGGAGAGAGTGAACAAAGATACACTTGATAATCGTGTGCTACATAAATCACAGCAATACACTCCTAAATTCAATGTAGAGGCTAGTCTCATATGTACAAGGCTGCTGGATAAGAATCCATCTACACGATTGGGTGGAAAGAGAGAAGTATTCGAGGATCCGTTTTTCAACACAATTCACTGGCCACAGCTAGAATCCGGTAAGCTTGAGCCTCCATATGCTATTGATCCACGAGCAATATACGCCAAAGATGTAATGGACATTGATCAGTTCTCATCAGTACGTGGAATTAACCTTAATGATAATGATGTACGTTTCTATGAGAAATTCTCAATAGGTGCAGTCCCGTACGCTTGGCAGAGAGAAGTAATTGAAACAACTGTGTATCATGATCTTAACCAATTCCCAGTAGATGGGTCTTTAGTGCCCGTAGCATATGGACGGGGGCGACGCAACAATGGAGGTGGCTGGAAGTCTCTGTGTTGTTGTTGTTTTGGTGATTCTTGAAACTGATATTTCATCTCGTCGATTGTTAATCTTAATTTCAAAAATACGTTTTGATTCTATTTTATATGTTTTATTACATAACAAACAACTTTAAACGATACATAAAATTATTTATTATTAATATTATTTTGTCCCCGCCTAATGGTTGTTTGTATATTTCTTTTATCGCCTCTATTTTTGCTAATTAGGTTTAATTATCTATTGTATTAATTGTATTAAATAGTTCATGTTTTGAATTTAGTTAATGCTCAGGTGCTGTTAGAACGCTTCCAGGGGAGAGGTATTTAAATGTGGCAACCCCCATTCATATATATTTCGGTTTATTTCATATGTGGAATATACGAGTTAAAATATTTCAATAGGACATTTCTAACCAGCAACAAAGGTTAAGGAATTTGTGTGTAGAAACGGTTGTTGGTTAGAAAATTCTTTACAGTAAATACTCTTACTATTGTGTGATATTTGCAATATTTAGCTCTCTAATTAATGGCTGAAGAACGGAGTTTACCAGATATACGAATGACCGATGAGGGAGACAATAAGAATCCTGAACCTATAAGTACAGTAAAACCAAAAGATACTCTATTCGGAAATGAATCTGACGTTACTCTTTTGATAAGATATCAAGCTAGTATGGTGCTAGCTGGTGTAGGAGATGCTCTTGGGTATAATCATGGTAGATTTGAATTTTGTGATTCAGGAGATTTGATAATGAAAGATATTGAAAAGAAATATAATGGCATTGCTAACTTAAAACCTAACGAGAGATCAGAATTCATGTTATCAGATGATACTATCATGCATATTGCTACTGCAGAAGGACTAGTTAAATCTTGGGAGAATGAGTTTGAACTTTTGACCATGATTGCTATTGAGTATGTCAATTGTATGAATGATATGGGAGGACGTTCTCCTGGTGGATGTTGTATGGGCGGAACAGATATGATCAGGAAATCTTTGGATAGTGATAAATCCTATGAAGAAAATCCTCCTTTTGTAACCCCGTATAACAGAAAGAAAGGCGGGTGCGGAGCTGCCATGAGGAGTGCACCCATTGGACTACTATATTCACATGAAGAACAGATGGATCAATTGATGAAGGTAAGTGACAGTGCTTTACTTAAATCAGTCAAATATCAAAGTGTAAAAAGGTATGACCATGTGTAGGCTCGAACTCGGATTTTGCTTTCATTATATTTTACGGATTCATTTGGGTCGAAAAAGATAACCGACCCAGGCAGGATTCGAACCTGCAGTCTCCTGATTCGTAGTCAGACGCGTTAACCGTTGCGCCACTGGGCCTTATAACTCATATTAATCAATTGGAGAATATAAAAGCAAATTCTTTTTACCTTCACTTTTTCCGAATTCTAAGGTGGCAATTGAGGCTGGTCGAATGACACACAATCAAACAAGTGGATTTCTAGGATCCTTAGCTACAGCTCTATTGGTACATCTTGCGATTAGAAAAGTTTCTCCTATCAGCTGGGGACGAATAATCCTCAAACAATCTCAAAGAGTATTGCAATATTGTACTGAAAATGATCAATATCATAAGGATATATCCCATATATCTGGAGATTGGGGTTATTTCCAAAAAAGTTGGGAGAAGTACCTTTCTAGGAGGAATATATTGATCAATGATGGCCCTATTGATTTTAAATTTGATTATTGGAATGGAGATAATCCTGATATACCTTCTTATAAAAACCATGACAAGTTTGTTACAGAGGTAGTTTTGTGAATATAGTAATTGCTTGACATTTGATCTTATTTATACTTTTCTAGATATCGTATGCTGGATGGGGAGGTAGCAGTGGGCATGATGCTCCAATGATTGCTTATGATGCTGTATTGTATGCATTGCAAGTTAGAGAGAGAGATGGAGTTGTAAAGGGTTGGGAGAGTGTATGTGCTTTTGGTATGTTTCATTGTGGAGATAGCGACAGTACAGGAATTATATCAGGAGCTATTTGGGGCGCGATGTTTGGTTTTGAAGCTTATAAAGCAAATCATGAAAGACTTGAGTATAGGCAACAGTTATGCAATCTAGCAGAACAGTTATATTTTAGGAGTGAGAAGTTATTAGTTGATGATCCACTGAGACCTGTTAAACATGATGAACTTGATGTTTGTAGTGCTGAAATATAAAAATGTAATTGATACACAAGCTCCTGTTGATAATTCAGTACCAACAGATGAGTTACTTGATGAGGGTATCAGTATATAACAGCTGAGAGGTAACACGTAATTACCACGAATATTTTAGGTATACACAACCAAGATACACATACGGTACTGTTTTGTGTACATTTTCCCTGACTGCTCTGAGTTTATATTTGTATTTGTATTTATTGTTTCAGTAATTGTGCTTAAAATATAGGAAATGATTATTATCAATGCACATAAATTATTTCAAAAATTTGAATTACAAGAGTTCTTCATATATTGTTTGATTTCTTTCACAAACTTCATCTCATCAATTGCTGTTTCGTAACAACATCTATCTTGTTTTCGTTCTTTCTTCAATTTGTTTCCAAGTATTTTCACAGCCCCAAATAATAGTGGATCTGTCTCAATCTTATCTAAACAGTATTCTGAAAATTCTTGATTTAATTGTCTTAACTCTGCTATTTCAATCTCTAACTTAGCTCCTTTCTCTCTTTTCTTTCTATCAAGTTTGAGTTTCATTCTGTCATACAATAGATTATCAATGTATGAGAATTCTATTGATTTATTCAGTAACCTATCATCTATGTAATAATCATCTTTTAATGGCTGTGCAGCTACGTTTTGAGTGAAATATACAAAATCTTCTATTTGTAGATTCAGCTCATCTTTCAATAATATTAGAGATTCATCAAATTCCTCTGAAATAACAAAGAAATCAATCTCAGATTCCATCCAATTCAGGAATCTCTCCACTTCTGCAAGGTATATAGGTTCATTCTCAATTTCAGATCTCGTTATACCTCTTGGTATATCAAAATCACTCAATCCGAGATCAAAAGACATAGAATTCCATAACAGCTGCAATGGATTAATCATGATTTGACGTAATCTCGGTACATATCTTTGTGGTCTATCTAAAAAATCTTCAAATGTTGCACCAACCCTTCTAAGCGTCTTAGCATATCCATAATAATTAAATCCTGACTGCATCTGTTCTAACGGGCGTCTTAATGTAGCCACAATAAATGTATCTTCTCTCATGAATCTAGATAGAATATTTCTTCCATTATACCTGGAGTGTATATTGAGTATATCATATTTTCCATTTTGACAAGGTGGATAAAAGGATTTGAAAGACTTATCAATTGTTCTTGGATAGAATTGGTGTAAATTTGGATCTTTAACCATTACAAAGCTTAATCCTCTACGGATTCCGAACCGATATAATATACTTGAGAGTGTTGTGCTTCCTGTTTTATGGACTTTTAACAGAGCTATTGAAGTTTGTTCATCCTCATTTACCTCTGAGATTCTACACCTCATCATATTACTTGTTGGATATGCAAATGTTGAGGTATTTTCTCCAGTTGCTACTACACCACTTGTAATGGTGTTAGGATAGAAATTGTTTTGAGTTGCCTCATAGCACTGTAATAGTCTCGCATGATAGTAACCTAGTATTATTATCACTGTAATAAATAGAAGTGTTGTTACTACCCACTTTATCCTTGATCTCATTAACATCACATTTTTCATAAGACATAAACTCAAAATTTTAATATATACCTATCAAATGGAATCTCTCCAGGTATACAACCAACCGCTATACTCCTTTGTTCTTCATTAAATAGAATTTATACAAGATCCATTTTTGTGATTTCCAATCCTGAATACTATAGTATTAGAAAAGTTGTTTCATCCAAATATATTGAGAGATAATGCACAATTGTATTTTATTACCTATGGCCAATGCTAGGACTACAATACAAAGGAACCTGCATAACCCAACACTCGTTGGGATGTGAAAATTGTGTCGGATTAGCAAACTGTCAGATTATACAAGTGTGGGGTTATCAGCTGGTTTCACTGTACTGCATGGGTAATAATTTCATTAACTAAGGATTTATTAAATTAGACATATTTCCTAATACAAATGTTAGAATGAACCCATCAATAACTGTTAGTCGCCCTCAACTAACTACCCCAGCTGGCAAGGAGGAGAAGCTTAGTTCTAGCAGACATAACCTATTGAAAATACAGAATGTCCCTAGCACTCTGAAAGCTAATCGTTCTTACATGACAAGTTCTCTTGTGAAGCAGACTAGTATTATTAACACTGGACCTAAGAAAAGTGTATTAGCTCGTGCTGGGAGCAGGATGTTTGCTCCTCCTCAGGTTAATACAAACAAATATTAGAATTTGGAAGAAATTTCCGAATTCTACTCTTATTATTTTTATTCATTATATCAACAGATTAAAGACAGTGCTGGTACTGAGTTAACTCCTCAGAACTTACAGCTGAATTCAGAGCCTTATATTGAGTGAGTTATTGGCCATGTTGGGGAAACACTTTGAACTTTGAATTTCTATTATGTAACAACTTATTTAGTAAGAGACCAAGTAATCAGCCTGATTCTCTACAAATGGTACGTATTGAATTACTAAATTTCTAATACTTTTATGGATAATATTCATAGCTAGGTGAAGCTCTCTACTTACAGTCCATATATAATCCTCCACAGGGAGTGACAAGTAAACTAGCATACAAGTAAGTTCTTTGTGTAATAATATTATTTTACATTCTAGCTAATCTATATCCCGATATCTGCAATTGGAGATACATAGAGTACATGTACGTAGGCAGGCTTATTAACCTAAGAGGAGTAGGAGCATTGATATCATCTTACACCTCTCATAACCTTATGACATATCATTGGTTAGTCCTCAAGGGAAAAGATCAAATTTCATATATCATTTAAGCTTATTTAAATCATTAGTTGCAATAATGTCCTGGAAATTGGGAATATGAATTTGTATATTCTACAAAATTTATTCTTATTATTTGTGTTAAATTCTGTTTGCAATGGCTTAGAGGTTTGTGTGGATAATTCGGATATTCACTGTTTGCATTATGAAGGTTTTACCTCATGCACTATCAGAGGTACTAACACTACTGCTGTTTCAATGGGTATATTCACGTGTAGTGGTCAGTCTTTAATTAATATTGACTTCTCGGAAGTGATGAATATTGAGGTTGATTTAAAGATTAAATCTTCGAAAACGGTTGCATTTATCTCAAGTGGTGTGTCGACTGTTATATTATTACGTGCTACGGCTATGAGTAATTCTGTTACTTCGATTCAACAAACTCAGGTTATTTTTGATTTCACTGTTGCCACGAATTTTACTCAATCCTTCCCCAATTTAGACTCAGTTAATTTTCAAAATCCGATTTACTCACAAATTCCCACTTTTGTTCATAATGACAAACTGACTTCCATTGTCGTTAAGCGTGCTACCTTTCCTGTCGATGGAGATTTTGCGGTTTCTAGCGAATTTATCGGGGGTCTAACTCTACTTCGAATATTCGAATGGACAGACAGTTCAATTACATCCATAATCCCGGCTGCATTCTCACACTTGAATCAACTGAGTAGTCTAAAACTTTCAGATAACAAAATCACTCATTTAAGAAAATTCAGTTTTCAAGGATCACATCTACCCGTTCTGCTCTACCTGTGGTTAAGTGGAAATGACATTTCTATAGTTGACGATCTGGCATTCGATAACCTTGCATTAAATCAACTTTATCTAGACAGCAATCCGCATTTTCCATTAGAATCTCTTGTTAACATATCAAGTCTACAATCTCTCAGTCTTGCTAATAATGGATACGATTATTTTTCTCCAGATTTAATTTACAACTTAGACTTCCATTCCTTCAACCTCGCAAACAATCCATTCAACTGCAGCTGTGCCCTTCAATGGGCTAATATCGCACAAATATTTATTACATTTAACGATGCGCTATGCACACTTCCATCTCAATTTAACGGTCTGCCTATAACAGATCCTGCTCCCTATGCAAACTGTACTCAGTCATTATCCTATCAATGTTTCAACCACTCAATATTATGCATGGGTAGCTCACAATGCATTAATACTCCCACTAGTGCATATTGTTCTTGTGTCCACGTAGGAGATAATTATGGATATTCTCAGCTTGCAAAGGATTGTATTGTCCTGTTAGATGAATGTGCAGAGTTACATGATTGCGATCAGATCTGTACTGACACGATTGATTCATACGAGTGTGATTGTAACCAAGGATTCGATCTTTATGAACAAAC